TCTCTCCAGGCATGTCCCTTTCCTCCGATCTCCACATGTTCACCAACCTGGAAGCTCTGAACCGTGTCCCTTTTGGGTTTTATTACATTGGTAATTGATTACATCATTGAACATTGGTAATTGATTCAGTCTCCAGCCTCTCTACCCTCCCCAGAGGTCAGGAAGTGAGACTGAAAGTGCCAAACCTCTGGTCACATGGTTGTTTCCCCTGGCAGCCAGTCCTCATTTTTAGTTGCTTTCCAAAAAGTCCTTATTAACAGAACAAAAGACACCTTTATCACTTAGGAAATTCCAAGATTTGTACGAGCTCTGTGCCAGAAGCAAGGATGAATGCTAAATATTTCTCATTATAAGTTACAACATCACATCATGTTTTGAAATTCTTTTCAACTGTCAAACCAAATGACATTTAAAAATGCATACTTTATATTTTCACTTGTAATTCTAACCTAAAACAAAGAAACTTGGTGTTTTAGTTAGTCTGTGCATTCTTGATATAAGTAAACATGATTTTTTTAGGCTATTTGAGAGTTAGAAATAGCTTACAGATTCTTTTCATTATCTTCATGGAAACTGAGATATTTGGGACCCTATATTGGGAAACATTAATTAAGTACAATTCCATCATTTCATACATGATATTCTAGATGGGCTTCCTTTAAGTGACTTGAACAAGTCGCTTAAGTTGAAAGCACTCAAAAGAAGTTTGCATTAGAACCTAATAACAACAATTATAGAAAAGAAAACTCTAGTTTTAAAATATAAACTTTACATACTTAAAATTGTATTTTATTTTGTTAAGGTAAAATTAAAGAAGACAAATGTAATATAGGGACAAATAAATGGAAATTTTGAATGTGTATTTTTATTTCAAATACACTATATTCTTCTAAAGAGTGATGTTCTTGGACATAGCAACTTTAAAATTTTATTTATTTATTTACACTCAAGTTCAGAAAATGATTTAAGATGATTAAAATTTCATAGCAAAAAATTTCATATATCATATTCACTTATCAAACATAAAAGTATAAATAAATAATGAAAACATCTGAAAAAAGATTCCTGTCTAAGATAATTTTGAGTGCTTTCTTAACGCTCGAGTCAGACTGGACATTGAGAGTCAGCGTGGCATAACAGAAAGAGCTCAAGATCTAGAATCAGAAAACCTGGGTTTGAGTCATGGATCCACCATCTGAATATAGAAGTTTTGGGTTGTAAAAATGGAAACAGACTTACAGATACAGAAAACAAATGGGTGGTTGCCAGAGGGAAGGAGAATGGAGGGCACAAAAGGTGAAGGGGGTTAAGAGGTACAGACCTCCAGTTATAAAATAAATAAGCCACAGGTATGCAATACACAGCTTAAGGAATATGGTCAATAATACAACTGTGTGTGGAAACAGAGGGTTTGATTACTAGACATATCGTGGTGATCGTTTCATAATGTTTGCAAATGTAAAACCACTAGTATATCTGAAACTAGCATAATATTGTATGTCAACTCTATTTCAATTAAACAGTGAAACACTAGGTTATAGAATTCAATTGTGACAGTATACTTTATAGTATTGTAAACTGTAGAATGCTGTAGAAATGTACATGTAAAAATGTATTAGAAAATAAAGGAAATATAATGATAACATATTTTAAAAATTGAGATGCAATTGTTAGAGGAAATGCACTTCAGATATCTATATTAACAAGACAAAAAGAGAAATGTAGTTTTATAATGTAATGGACATTTATTAAATACTTAGTGTGCACTGGATTTGGTAAGATAGATAAAAGGTGAAAATAATAGGAACTAACAGGTTTGATCTTGAAAAGGCATTAAAACAATAAACAGTTATCTTAATATAAAGAAGGTAAAAATCAGAAATAGAAAACATAAAAATATTTTTAGAGGATGATATGTGTAGTTACATTGCCAGTATATTTGAAATAGCTGACTCCAAAAAAATAAATATCCAAAGTAGGTCCGCAAAAAGACACTTAATCCAATATCAGGATGAAATAAGAAAGGTTAAATGAAAAACTTACTCCCTAATAGACTCAGTGGAATTTTTAAAAAATGTTGAAGTATAATAAGACCTCTTTATTATAAAAGTTATTTTTTAGACTTACACTAAAAAAATCATACTACTTAAATGCATTTTATGGAGTAAATTGGTTGTGATCCGAAAAGCCTCTCAAAAAAAAAATGTTAGTCAAATATTGCATGTTATTATTGGTATAGAATTATTAAATAAAATCTTAGCCAATAATCAGTTGAACCAAGGAGTCATGAGACCTGGCTCTTATTTTGGACTCTCCCATTAACAAGCAGCGTGGTCTTAAATCATTTACATTTTGTTGGCCTTAGGATTATTGTTAACATGTTTTGGCTCTGTGTGTGTTTGTTTTGATTTATAAGTATACTGAATGTTCTTTTCTAGCTCTAAAATTCTCTCAGGAATATTGCATACAAGAAGAATTATTCATTGTGTTGAAATAGTCTTTATTCCAAGGATACAAGTCAGTTTAACAATGAAAAATTTTTAGAGTCTCTATTACAGCAGTAAGAAAAATATGGGAATGAATATAATTTCATCAGTAGATGCCGAGAGAAATAATTACCCAAGTTATATTTCTGAAATATTTTTAAGTTGGAATAGGAAGCATTTTTGTTTGATTATTTAGTGTATGTTTATTTATTCAGTGTAAACTACTTATTGTTGAAGAAATAATACATTTACGTGGTTCAGAATTCAAAAGGCATACCAAGAGTATACAGTGAAAAGCATCTTTCTTCTCTTCTCCCTTAGTTACATAGAAACAGCCAATTTTAGTTTGAAAACCAAGAGCCAGAGCCAGTGTTATCTCAGGGGAGAAATCCACAGGCATTCATGAAAACAAGGGTGTGTCTTACTGTTTATTTAAATTTGAACAAACATTTTTAATGAATAATAAAAAGCATTGAGAAATAACAGCAAAGGAAGAAATTTCACTTACAGAAGTGACAAAGGATACTTAGTGTTTGGGAATTAACTTAGTATGGAATACTTGACATTGATTCCAGTGAAATTATAAAATCTTAAAGGAAAATGTAAAGGAATACTTGAAATAAGTGGAGCTAGAAGCCCTCCCCTTACTGGGAAGAGCTGGGCAAAGATGACAGTAGTAATCAATAGTTTAAATGGGAAACCAAGTATAAGTCCATCAGGAGATCTTGTAGAACTTGGAAGGAAAGTTTATCAGGAAAAATGAATGGCCAAGAAATGCAGATGTATATTTTGAGGGGAAAAGGGCAGTAATGAGGGATGGGCTTTACTAGGCTTCAGAATATATAATAGTTGCCAATGAAATTCTTATCTACCTAGAGAATCCAAAACAATCAACTGGAAAACTATTAGAATTAGCAATAGAGTTCAGAAAGGGGCCTGGATACAAGTTTAACATATAAAAATTAATAGCTTTCCCTTAGCAATAATAAGTTAGAAAATACAGTATTTAAAAGGGACCCATTCACATTAGCTAAAAGTTCCATAAGATACCCAGGAATAAATAAAAAGTATGCAAGGTCTGTGTGAAGAAAACTTTAAAATTATACTGAAAATATGATAAAAGAGCAAAATAAAGGAATAAAACATACCCTTTGCCTGTTGAGAAAACTCATTAAAATGTCAGTACAGTTGACCCTTGAACATCCCAGGAGTTAGGGGCACTGACCCTACACTCAGTTGAAAATCCACATATAACTTACAGTGGGCCCTCCCGTATACCCCGTTCCTCTGTATACACAGCTCCTTCATGTACACAGTTCCATATTCATGGCTCTGTATCTTCAGATTCAACCAACTGGGGATTGTGTGGTACTGTAGTGTTTACTGTGGGAAAAAATCTGAGTGTAAGTGGACCCGCACAGTTCAAACCTGTGTTGTTCAAGTCAACTGTACTTTCCAAATTATAAATTACTGAAAACCCAATCAGAATCCCAGTAAGATTATTATTGTTTTAAATTATTTTCGTTGTGAAACATGTAAATACAGAACTTGCAAATATGCCCATACATTTTGAAGAGTGCCAATAAAATGAAACTGTCACTCAGATTAAGAAACAGTATGTTGCCAGTGCCTTAAAGCTCCTGTATATCCCCCCTGAATTCCATCCCCCTCATTCATTGCATCCTTCCTCAGACTTTTTAGTTCATCATTCCTTTGCTTCTTTTTGTAGTTCTGTCATGTGATGTATATTCCCTCAATGATACTTTGCTAGTTTGGAAAAACTGAGTCTAAGTAGCTGTGTAAGAAAAGGGTAATTTGCCACTGCTAGATGAAAGCTCCCACAAGAAGATAAGCTGAACAGTGTCATGGTTTGACGTCAATGTCCCTGAATTTACAAGAGGCCCTCCTGGGGATGTCTGAGGGCAAGGTCATGTGAATGAATCCTGGGGAAATTAGCCATTATTACAGAGCTTCCAATCAGCCATTCATTCTTATGAATAAAAAACAAGGATAATCAGACATCTTAGGAAAAGCCTCTGACATGGAAGGTGGAGATTAAAATGAACAAACAGTAAACTACAACTCAGAGAAAATAGAAGCAAAGAACAAACAAAAAAAGGAGAACAATAAAGCCACAGAGAAATAGAAGATGACAAATGAAAATGGGCTGATAAACAAGAAACACCAAGCAAAATGATCTCTTAGAAATTAAAAACCTGAGAGGAAAATAGGAGAGAAAAGATAAGAAAATGGGAGGTCCAATACCCCAGTATAAACAGCTCCAATAGAGGAAAGATTATGACCGTGGAAGGGAGGAAACTCTCAACAAAATTATTTGGTAGAATTTCCTCAAACTGAAGGACTTGAGTTGCTAAATTGAAAGGGCTCACTGTGCCTAGCGCAGTGATTGAAAATAAACCCATATTTATGTGTGTTATCCTTACAATGGATTTTCAGTCACTGTGAAATGTAAAGAGTTATAAATGGTGCTGTTATAAAATTATTGTGTGTGCTTTTTGGCATATATTTGTATGCATTTCTGTTGAGTAAGTACTAGGAGTAGAACTGCTATGTTGTAGAATACTAGTAAATAATGTCAAATAGTTTGTTACAAAGTCGTTGGAAATA